GACCCTCCCAGAAAATGCTAAGAACTGCATTTTCGAAAGCCCACATCATATATTTTAATTCTTCTGGCCAGACCAGTAGGCTGCACAAGCTCCAGAGTGACATGCTTTCAAAAGTTTCCTAATTGCGCCACCATCGTTCCCTGAGACCCTCACAAGATTTCTGCTTTTTTGTAAGGAGGGGAAATTTTTTTTTAGGATTACTTAGTTCTTTATTTAAATAATTACTTTATGTAAAGCAATTCTTTGCCCCCAGACACCATCCTTAGCAGAAAGTTCCAGGTGTTCTTAGTTCTTACATGGGGACAATCAATTACGAGTCCTGGTGTTTTTCACATGGGTATCTTCTCCCAACTTTCTCATTTTGGGACTTTGGTATTTTTCAAATTTGCACCCTCTCCCAGATTCCTCTCACCCCCCTTTTCTCAATTGTACTCCTTTTGGCTTACCGAAGTGATCCAGAAGCAAAGATAGATTTGAAATTTTAGTTACATCTCAACTTCTTTGGCATAAGAGGCATTCTCTAAAATTGTAGTGATTCCCATCCCACCCACCCACTTGCCCACTGGGCGTGACTGCAAACTACCCCCATTCACTGCATTGAGTCTAAGTTCTATGGAGCCTACCAACTACGTGTGTCCTGTTCCTCCTTTCCCGTCCCACTGAGGCTACACTCTCACCTGGTCCAGTCTTCAAACCACATCTTTGTGCCCATTCTTGCCCCCACCCGGATAACCCAGCCTTCCCACCAAAGGCTCAGTCTACTGTACATGACCACTCCGTGGCTGTGTAATGGGCATGATGGGAACATTCCTTGATTCCTTGTGCCAGGGAGTAATGTGGAAGTGTTAGTTAAAGCTAGGCTAAAATCACAAAGCTGGCAGGGCCTTCCTAGACTTCCAGCCCTATCCTTGTGCATCTATCCTTGGATTTTCCTCCGTCATGGTGCCATGTGGTCGCTATATATGCTAGTCTCCCCCACGAGACTGTGAACGCTGTGTCTTGTTTATTCTGCATCCACAGCACCATTCACAGTGCCTGGCACGGAGCAGACATTCACAACTTAACCAGTAGCAGAAAGAACACCCTCTCCCCCAAGGACAGTGTGTTAGCTCCCCATTGCAGCCATTAACAAACTGCACACTCAGTGGCTTAAAGCCACCTCCACTTGTTGCCTCCTAGGTCTGCAGGCCAGCAGCCTGACACCATCTCGTTGGGCTGAATTCAAAGTGTTGGCGGGGCTATGTTCCCACCGCAGGTTCTAGGAGAAAATCTATTTTCCTTGCCTTTCTCCAGCTTTGAGATGCCATTTTCCTTTTTCTTCAAGGCCAGCGACATGGCCTCTGACTGTCCCTGCTTCTGTTGTCACATCACTTTCACTGAACACAATTGGGAAAGGTCCTCTAGTTTTAAGGGCCATATGATTAAACCACTCGGATAAGACGGCATGACCTCCCCCCCTCAAGGTCAGCTGAGGAGCCATCTTAATTTCATCTACAACCTGAATTCTCTTTGTCATGTCACCTACCTACTCAGAGCTTCCAGCATTAGGGTGCAGACGCCATTAGGAGACCTTTATTCTGCCTGCCATAGGCAGCAATAGGTGAGGGACCTGAATTCCATAGGGTGGCTCTTTTCTAACAGCTGCAATGCTTTTACGTAATCGCCATGGAAGCCTTCAGATCGAAACCAGTTTGGTCTCCCACCATCATGGTGCTTGACCCAGGGCTCAGCCCATGTGAGGGTGCTCAGTGTCTGGAAATTAGAATGTAAAATATTGGTTGTCTGGGATGTTTACAAATCAACCTCCCAATTCCTCTTCGAAAACAGTTTTGATTGAGGTTTCAAGAAACGGTTAGAAAACCAATTTTGAAGCACAGTCAGGGGGCCCAGTGGCCATTATTTTGCTTTCTCACACTAAACCAGCTCAAGGATTGAAAAAACAGACAACTTCCATTCTCTGACAGAAGTCTTCCAGATTTTTCAGATGAAAAAACAGCTCATATGCGTTTTGCCTAGTGCACATGGGAACACAGCTGTATAGGAGACTCAGCTGAACAAAAGAAAAAAATTCATGCCATAAAGCCTCGTGACCCCCAAAGCAGCTGAGAATTGAATACTTTTCAAGCAATTTTTGGTAGGATTAGTACTTAAACACACAGGGAACCATTTCATTGCCAGCAAATCTGGAGAAATTAAACCTTGTTTCCAAGAAGCGCTCACGGAGCCTGCAGTGCATGTTTCCGTCACTGTGAAAGAACTTGCTCAACTCCGCCGAGTCGCTTTAGCGGGATCCAGAGCTGGTCAGACGGCACAGGAGGCCTGGGGTCCAGCCGGGACACCAAGCACAGCTGTCCGCAGGCTGCCATCGTAGTCCGGGTGCCTGGGAAAAGAGAGGGGCTTTCACTTGGCAGACAGAATTGGCTGGAAACTGCCAGGTCTCGTGGAGTTCAGGATCCAGCCCTGACAGGTCCAGCCCCGCCAGTTCTCTGAGTTCAGTGTTCGCCATGGCAACTGCTTGGGACACCTCCAACTTGCTCAACTAGAGATTTGAAGGAAAGCTGCCCAGAGTGGAGGCTCGGTCTGCAAAGTTTTCCGTCTTTTATTCATCTAGCACCTCATCAGCAAAACTTTACGGAACACTCAACCTCACTTTGGAATCCTGGTCAAAAACGCTTCAATGTACATCACTTCATCTGATCCCCCTAACGGGCCTGGCAGCTGCTTGGGCCTGGCGTCTTCAAGCAGTACCTACCACAGTGCTGGCACATGACAGTAACTCAATAAATGTTTACCAAATCAGTGAACTGTCATCATTTTATAAAGAAACAGGCTCCGAGAGGTTTGAGTGGCTTCTTGAAAGTGCCCAGGGGCAGGCAGGGAGAGGCCTATCATTTCTACACCACCAGGCAGGCCCCCCAAATCCAACTCAATAAAGGTCAGGAGAATATCTCACTCCTTTTCAACATTTGTTGGGCATCTGCCCTAAACCAGACTTCACCACCATGCGCCACCCTCTGCCTGGCTGGCTTCCTTAAGCCTCGGGTTTAATGTGATCTCCCAAGCAAAGCCTCCTGCCAGCCATTCCACACCCCTACCCCTGTTTCCTCACATTCACAGCCCTTTCTCACTCCATTACTTTATGTGTGCATTGATTTATTTATGGCCATCCTTCCTCAATAGGAAAGTGAGCTCCACGAGGGCAGGGGTAGACTCACACATTGTGACGGTCACTGCGGTCTGAGGTACATTCATAAAAACAAAGGGTAGAAGACTGGACATCTGGGGCACGTCTGGAGTAGAGGAAAGGAGTGGGGTTTTTTAACCTAGGGGCAGAGACTGGGGAAGACGCATCAGGTTCTTTCAGATGTCTGAAGCCGGCAAGCCCAAAAAGGGGGGCGGGCTTAGCTATAGTCAGAGAGGGCTGAGGTGGGGGAAGCTGCAAGGGCAGGTTTGGGTTCTGTGGGTGATCGTTGTGTGCTGTCTTCCCCATTAGTGTACAAGTGCCAGAAAAGTGGCCCGCAGCTATTTACTTTTATGTAGACAGCACTGTTTGCCACTCAATAACTAGTTAATTGATATTGTGTGCATTATCAATTATGGGTCTGTTCCCTCTGCCTGGAATGCTCCTCATCCGCAACCCCCTTCATCTGGTTGACTTTTTGATGACTCTTGAGAGCTAAGCTTAAAATTAGTATCTGATCACCAGGAAAATCTATTCTCCTACCACCAGTCCCCTAACAGAAGTATTTTCCATCGTAGCCTTTGATTAGCATTGTTGATGTTATTTACTGTTTACTTAACACATATATTCCCCTATCAGAAGGCAGTCTTTCTTGCATGGTTCCTAACCACCCCATTGAGACAACTGTCGGCACCTCCTGCAGAATGCTCCCTGAGAGCAGGGAGCTGTGTGACATAAACACTTGAATGTTCCTCAGATGAATTAGCTTTACAGTTAGGGAAGTGAAAAGGTTCAAGTGAGAGGCCAACAGTACACAATAAGCAAGTAGCAGAGCCTGGATCTGAACCCATTCTGCACAACTTGGAAGGCCGCGCTTTGTCTGCGCCACCAAACTGTGAGGACACAGAGCCACGGCTCAGGACTACAAGTTCTGCCTTACAAGCTGACCTCCTGGGCAGAAGTAGTGGAAGGCACAGAATGAAGACACAGTGGTAGGCAGGTTGCCTTGCCCGCAGGCTGGGAAACAGGAGAATACTTCCCAAGCAGAAGTCGTGTCCAGCAACCAAAAGCACAGGCAAATGGAGGGACAGAGTTGGCCCGATGAAAAGCAGGTGGTGGGCAACAGGTTAGCCTCTTGCAACTCCCTTCATCTTCCTAAACTCAAGGCGGACTAGCCTGGAGCCTACCCCTAGAACCAGCAGAGCAGTGGTTAACCATCCAGACTCTGCAGACAGGCTGGATTTGAGTCCTGGCGCTGTCACTAGTGTGACAACTTCTCGGCATCCCAATTTCCTCATCTGGGTAGTAATAGAGCATACCCTCCCAGCATGAACAAACTAAAATGTAGGTTGAAAAATTACTTGCATGCTCATTGCCTATACCTGAGAGCAGCTGAAAAAAAAAAGGCAACTATTACTATTCTAACCCTTCACAGCTTTAATTTGGATGAGGGACTCTACTTGCTATAATGCTTTCAACCAAACTTTTTGCCTAACGGGGTTCAGAATTTACCCTCCCCCATGTGATGGAACTAATATTTTCATGACATTTTCCATTCATGAGCTAACAGGCTACCAATCTGTAAGAGAATCTGACAACCTTGAGTGGGAGTTCTTAAATGACCCAGTTGTGACCGTAAGACGGTGCATTCAGTCCTGCACATCAGCACCAAATTTGCCACCCTGTAAGTTAAGTTCTTTTAGGTTTCTGTTTGATTCTTTTTTAAACATCAGGCTCCTTTTCCCAGTAGGTATATAGGTAGGAAAAATAAATGAGGTCAGCACTCTTCTCACGAGAATAAACTGTGACTCAAATACGGTGAGTGGTTATTTGCAAGGCTATAATTTTTTTAATGATAGATTTTCCTAAAAGAAACCACTATAACATCTGTCCAAGTACTCCAACGGAAAACAAAAAAAATACATAAAGATTAAAAATCTTACTTTAACAGCACATTGCCAAACACAGACAACTAGGATAAAATGCCAAGGAACCTTAAAAAATAACTTAAAAGATGTAATGTTCAAGTCATTCAAATGTGTGGGGGTCCACGAACAACAGAAAAACAAGTCCGAGAGGAGTTCTACTTGCGCAGGATGGCGACTGAGACTGCTTCATCCAAGTTCATTCAGGTGTTTCAACCAATAGGTGTGTGAGCAGAGTTTTATCTTGGCTTGGAGATGTGTATACAGATTAGAGGAGAGAAAAGTCTTCCAGATGCTGATGTAAGCACAGCAGGCTTGGTTCCCCTTTGATAAAGTGTGAAGGCAGATTTAGTTGACTCAAGCTTTTATCAGTTTGCCCAAGAAAAAGTCTTATGCATGCTGAAACAGACAAGTTACTGAATATTGTCATGCTATTTACAGCCATTTTCATAAAGTGAGCTCAATAATTTGACAGAATAAAAAAGGTAGTTGTTAATTTCTTATATAACCTTTTACAACTTGAATAACTGTGGGTAAATGGCGCTGAAGTGTCAACAAGTTGACAAGGAAGGACTGACTGCATGGAGAGGCACACATCGTATAAAATGCAGACTTCACGGGGTTCCTGCATGGCAGGAAAGTTGCTAGCACTAAGTAACAAATGGCTACGCCAACAGTTAGAGCTGCCACTCAAGGGTACGACAGTAGAATCCCTTTAAGTCTCAAGGAGTGTTTGCAACAACACAAATACCTTTGGGAGAAAAGGGACGTTTTGTCAGGAAAGATTTTTCATCGGGAAATTTGGACATCGCATAAACACAACAACCCTCAGATTGAATAAGATTTAAGGCAATGCTAGCTCAGACCTGAAGGGGAAAAACTCACAGAAGTTTTTATTTTTCTCCTGAAATATTAACAGAAGCGACAACAAAAGGTACCCCCTTCCAAGCGGTCAATGCACCGTCAGGCATTTTCAGCATTACAAAGTAGAATCCACTTTCATACCCTGAATATGAAATGGGAAATCATTATGTATTCTTCCTTGAAAACTGTAAAGTAAAAAGAAAAAAAAAAAGACACGGCAGCGTAGGCATCGGATATTAAAAGGTAACATGATGAAAATGAAGAAATGAAGACAGCTACACCTGACGCATAAAAAGCCACCGCCCGGACAGTAAGCTCTGCAGGGCGTGGTGTCTCCCTCATGGCTGACTTTGGTGTAGTATGGAACAATCACGATTCATAAATTAATGTTTACATCAACTACACACTAACAAATGACAATTAGACACAGTAAGTTCAAAAATTTTACATTTTGCTCCTGTTTGGCTGCTAAAGAGCAGCGATTTAAATTGATATAAAAACTTCTGACCACAAAGCTTGCTGTACAGATAAAGTATATAGTCAAAAAGTAAGCAGCAATTACATTTCATATTTAAACTTATCTGCTCTAGAATATTTACATAGCTGGGAAGAGAGATCTCTGGAACCACCATTCTCTTGCCTCCCCTCCTGCCCTTCACCCCAGCCCCACACATGAGTCGTGTCCTGAATTATATACACCTGTACTGCGGCGACCTTCGCAGGATGCAACTCCTTCTAGTCTTGGCATCTTCTGCGATCTTCTCTTCTGGAATAGCAGATGGAGGAATCTATTCGTTCATGGTAATGGGGGAAAAGGACCCCTGCACTTCACTCCCCAACCTGAATGGACCAAGATCCCAACACACCACAACAGGCCACCAGAGAAAAGGGAAAGAAAAGAGTCACGACAAAGGCAGCAGCGGTCAATCCAAGTTTGCCAACAGGAGCCTCTCCTCCCTGGGCTTCCCAGAAGTAACGCTCCCTCCTCCTCCCTCTCCTCCCACGAAACAAAAATTCAGTCACATCACAAGAACTTGGTACTCTGGTTAAGTGTCGGGTAAATATAAGAAAGAGTAAGTCTGTGAGTTTTTTCTACTTAAACTGAGACAGAAAGCTAACAGAAACACACATCACTATGAAAAGAACTTTCTAAAAACAGATCCAGTCTACATAGTGCAGCCAAGGAAACAGAAAAGGATAGTTTGTTCACAATCTGCCTTGTACAGGATATTTATATTCCTCGATGCCATATAAACAGCATTTATATAGCTTACACATTCAGAGACATGCACTGGGGCTTTTTAGGTAGTACGTATTTCTTCACAATCACATGTGCAAATTTTACAAATCACTAAGTGGGTATTAAGAAGCTTAGGCTGGACTGTGTCTCGTATTATCTAACAAATTTAATGGGGGTTCAGAATCATCCATAGGAAGAACCAGGCGTGTTCCCCGAATGACCAGTTCATGGTCTCCAAATGCCAGCTCCCGATCCAAAGCATCTTCAGAACTGTTTCCCATAAATCTCCTAGGGGCACCGGACACTGCTGACTCAGTATTCACAGTGGAGTCCCCATAAGTCAAGCTAATATCGCCGTCATTGAGAATAAGATCCGAGTCATCATCTTTCAGTTGTTCCTGGTTCTAAATGCAAATAAAACAAGTTTTAAGAACTGTTAAGAAACTCAGGATAAAGTCCAAGGTCATTTTCTTGGCTCAGGGCACTTTAATATATCTGAAACCTACATAATGTTTCCCCCACCTGAACCTATATTCCCCCAGCTGTTCCTTGTTCTGTTTACCAATGATGTTACAGGCTGTGAATTACATGTATAGATTTCAATGAGTTTTCTGCTGAGGAAAATATGCTTATATTCTGTGATGGATTTTATTCTCTACAAGTGAAGCAAGCAAAGCAAAGCACATGAGGAACCCAGCCCAAGAACGGATACATTTAACTCAATGAAGAACTTAGGTTTTGGATCGCAGGACTTACCTCGTAAGCCTGGGGGCTGGTCAGGCACCTGGCGATGGGCCCACAGCAGGCAGGGAGTGTTGTTGTGAGTGGAGGCCCACTGTGTGTCAGCAGAGGCTTCAGGTAGCTGTGCTAGTTAAGGAAGAGCTGCATTCTGTTCTTCACAAATGCAAAAGAACAACTCCTTTGCTAGTGACCACCCTCACAGGTTCCCTGAGGTGAGGTGACCACAAAGGAGAGCAAAGGGCTTGCACTGATGTTGTCTATTTCTGAAGGGAGATAATTATCTCTAGTCACAGATATGGAAGTTGAGGCTAGGAGACGTCAATGACCCACCTCTCCTCAGGACACACAACTAAGTGAAGACCCAATATTCTAACTTAAATTGATTGCCTGCCACACATAAAAATAATTTGTGACGATCAAAAATGGAAATATGATAACTAAACAAAATTACACATTTACAAGAAAATATATGAAATTTCTTCATGACTGTGGACTACAAAAGATGTTGTAACACACAAAAACTAACCATAAAAGATTAATAAAGTGACATTCTTCAATGAAATAGAAAAAAATGTTGATGAGATTCATATGGAACAACAAAAAACCTCGAATAGCCAAAACCCTCATGTCTAAGA